TGGTAAAACTGTGCCATAAAGTGAAAAAACAGTTCCTACCTGACCCTCTCTAGGCTGGCTCCATGCTCCAGTGGGGCTCTGTGGTGGTTGGGCCAGTACCAGCAGAGTCCACAGGGTGCTGTCACTCTGAGCAGGAGCCAGCAGCCCATCAGTTCAGGGGACCTGAAATGGAAAAAAAGGTAGGCTTAAGATCAGCCATAAAGCTGAGTGCCTCTATCACTGGTTAGGGCAGTCACTGGATCACACATATAGCTCGTTCAGAATCCTGAGTACTACCAGCCTGAAATGACTTTGCTATGAGAACACTTAGTAGTAAGTGAAAGAAACTATCAATTAAGAATGGGAAATTGAGGCATAAAGCAACCAAATAGCCTGCCCAAGATCATCCAGGCACAGGGGCAGGGACAGGAATTCAGCCAGTCTTATACTCACTCAGTCAATGATGTGATTACTTAAAAGATTTGTTCTTTGTTATGACATGTTTCCTAAACTCTCGAAAATGAGTTACAGTATTTCTCCTAAGTTATGGTGCATTTCCTAACAATCTAGAAAAAGATGTAATTTTATAAAACTAAAGTAATAATAATCTTTTCAAATATATTCTGACTTGAAAAGCGTATTTTTGAAAATTAATTCTCAAGGGTTATTATTTATAGGTGTCAGGTATCCTTTTAGTGCAGTGTTTTTCAAACTAGGCTTCAGAGAATGTAAGAGCCTTGGGATTCACATGAGGTAGGTCACCACTCCTTATCTCCTCTCATGTTTATGGTGTCACTTTTACAGGTTTTAAGTCAGCACTTCCACATAAGACTCTAATGAAAAAGTTCACTGCTAGGGGAAAAAAAAGGAAAACCAAAAATCCAACATTTATTTTATATAGCTTATAGTGGTATCATTGGGTGCCTGGAATGATGTTTTAGTTTTCAACTGTCAAGAACTACTGATAACTAAAAGTTAATACTCCATCTGAGATCATCACTGACCAATATCCGGCTCCTTCCTATTTGATCTCACTTTCTGGCAAGTGGTTTGATTTCACTTTCCTCTAGAAATTAAGTATTGTTGATTCACCTTACACTTAAGCCTTTCCTAAAAGATTCCAAGTAGTCCTATGTTTTCCAAAAAGAATGTTTAGCAATAAAATAATTTAAAAATTCTTTTTGTGCTTGTTAGTTTCTTGGTTTCCAAATTATAATCATGTCTCCTTTGAACAACTTTTACCTAAAAACTTAAATAAGTGGAAAGGCAATGGACATATCACTTATTGGCAGGACAATCACTTGTACTGCAAAGATATCAAGGTATAATGGAAAATACGCTTTTTATACATGAAAAATATACATTTTTCTATTAGTAAAATCCAGAATGTTAATTTTGGTGCTTTCCGTAATGATAGCAATAACATCTATCATAATCATCAATTGCTGTCTATAATACACATATACAAAACTGCATTTAATCATTAAGTACAAGATAAAGTTTTATAATGATTTGATTAAAACCAATCGCCCTGTTTAATTTTAAATTTAATTTCTATTCTATTTTTAGCTCAGTGGTTCCAGAGCCTGCCTCGCAAGTGCAAGGCCAGAAGTTCGTTCCTAGAAAAAAAAAAAAAAAAAAAAAGATGCTTTTTGAAT